TCATTCTTGTATCACTTTTCTGCACTTTTCCCCAATGCTATGATATCCTTTCTGAGGTGCGGTGGCCACAGAGCCTGCCCTCCTGTTTTATGAACATAAGAACATAAGAGACACCAATGTTGGATCAGGCCAAAGGCCCATCCAGTCCAACACTCTGTATCACACAGTGGCCAGAAATACCAGTGCCATCAGGAGGTCCACCAGTGGGTTAGAACCAATCTTCTGGGGATCAGCTGTATTTGCCAACCGTAGCTGCTGTGGGCAAGGCCAGTTCCGTGACGCTGCCCCCAGTGACCCATACGTTTTATTCCAGTTGCTGTGAGCTTTATGGGCAGCGACGTCTTGTCTGTTCTTCAGTCCGGCTGATTTATGCATCATCCCCGACCCTAAATGGGGGCCTCTGGAACCCTTTCCAAATATCCCCTCTCTTTCCAAAGAATGGTTGGGACTGGCAGAAATTGGTAACTGAGTTCCAGCAAGGAAAGGGAAGCGCGAGAGGCTGGTAAAAGTCTCAGGCAATGGACAGTTGGGAATGTGAAATGAAGCCGATGGGCAGTAGGTTCAGGGTGGACAAAAGTAAATACTTCTTTACCCAGAGAGTGATTAAAATGTGGAATTCGCTGCCAGAGGGTGTAGTGATGGCCTCTGGAATAAAGTGCTTTAAAGGGGGATTGGATAGATTCCTGGAGGAGAGTTCTATCAGTGGTTATGTATTGAACCTGAACAGTACCTGGAACTGGTTGAGCTTGTTCCCTCAGAACAATAGCCGACCAGGATCCTGAAGGTGACCAATATTATAGTAAGGTAAGGTTTCCCTTGCTCGAAAGCCAGTCGAATCCGACTCTAGGGTTGCGGTGCTCATCTCCGTTTCAAAGCCGAAGAGCCAGCGCTGTCTGAAGATATTTCCGTGGTCATGTGGCCGGCATGACTAAATGCCATGGCGCATGGAACGCTGTCACCTTCCCACCGAAGCGGTCCCTATTTATCTACTTGCAATTTCTTGCTTTCGAACTGCTAGGTTGGCAGAAGCTAGGGCCAGGGACGGGAGCTCACTCCGTCATGCGGCACACTCGGGTCTCGAACTGCTGAACTACCGACCTTCCAGCCTCCAGTTCAGCGTCTTAACCACTTGAGCCACCATTGGGAGTGGGGTGTGTTAGGGTTTGGTCTATCCTTGTAGTATTCCTGAAATCACTAAATAAACGAGAGCAATGCGTCCAGAACCCAGTATTTTGGAGAGGGTGGAGTAAACCAAAGGGCCAGCAGTGTTAAAGCTCTGTAGATGCCCAGACGTTTGTGAAAACCCTGGGCGTTCCCTCACCGCTCTCTCCGTTTCATTTTGCGTCGAAAACCGCAGAACCATGTGCAGATATTCGCTGATGAGCTCCTTGTGTCTTGTATCTCGTAGCTTCGACCCGTAATATCTATAAAGGGAAATCTGGGAAAGGTCTCCGTTAGTCAAACTGTTAGTCAAGACATCAGCAAAACAGGGAGATTGTGGCGACGGAAACATTTTAAAAAACCACCTCCATAAATTGAGACATGAGCGGCTCTTCGCTGTGTTTGACCTCAAAGAGAAGTAGACAACGACAGCTGTGAGGTAATGATGAGAAGCCTATTCGGTTTGCCGAATGTTTGACGAAAATCACACGGACACAAGTATCCTTCACGATAAGAATAATTCAAGGGCATAACGCTCTTCTCTGCTGCAGGAGACCGCTTGGTCCTCTTCACCTCTAGCGTCATCCAATGCAAATAAAGAGGAGGAGGAGGAGATTGGATTAATACCCCGCCCTTCACTACCCAGAGGAGTCTCAGAGCGGCTTACAAACTCATTTCCTTTCCCCTCCCCACAACAGACACCCTGTGAGGTAGGCGGGGCTGAGAGAACTCTGACATAAACCGCTCTAACAGCTCTTATCAGAACTACGGCTTGCCCAAGGTCATCCAGTCAGGTGCAAGTGGAGGAGTGGGGAATCAAACCCGGCTCTCCCAGATTAGAGTCCGTGCACTTAACCACTACACCAAACTGGCTGGCACTACACTGCGAAACTGGCACTTAACCACTACACCAAATAAAGCACAATAGCCAGGAAAGCGTTCCTCGTGTCTTTCTTATTCTTGTATTCAAGTAGTGCAGAAAGTCACGATTCCGCAGACAGGCCTGCTCAAACGCCTGTTTCAACAAGCTTCCTCAGAGCAGAGAGCTATTCATGCCTACGAGCAGGGGTCATTTCGTTGAAAAAGAGGTGTAGGAGCTCATTAGCATAACTCATTTGCATAGGCCACACCCCCTGACATCACCGGAAGTGTGTCAGAAGACAACACCCACCGCTCAGGCTCCACTGGACTGTTTTGGATTGCTAGCTATTGGGGGCAGGGGGACGTGCAGATCTGTCCTCGCAGAGGAGGGAGAGCTTGTACCTGAATAAACCTTGGCCATAAAGGTGCCACTGGACTGTTTTGGATCTGTTGGCTTTGCAACTTACCTGGCTGCTTCTTGCTCTGACTGAGAGCTGCTGGGAGCAGGGGGTGGGGCTTGTTGCATGTGCCCGCCCCCTGGGCTCTTTACTGCCGGAGCTCCGCTCCTGTGCGCTCCTGCAGGAAATGACCCCTGCCTACGAGAGAGAACGTGCAGCCAAGAAACTGAGTAAAGTCGACACGTATTCTGCTCTGAGGAGGCTTAAGGTGAGGATGCTGAGGGGTGTAGGCAGACAGAGCAAAGAGTGGGATGAGAACCCGAGGAGATGTGCCGAGTATTTCCAACGGCTTCCCTCAGGTGACGACTGTGGGGCGAGCAGTGTCGAAATGCGGGAGCGCCACCAAATGCTGAAAACTCCAAGGGAGATACTCTCAGACATATAGGCCAGTCTAAGAATTGGCTGACCATGAGGTGGACACATTCTCCAGCAAGGGAATCGCTGTGGGATACAATGGAGAGCACTAAGATTGGGTCCCCAGAGAGCACTAAGATCAGGGTCCCAAAATTGTCTGGCCCTCCCGGGCCTCAGAGAAGCCAGGCTCGCTGTGACAAGGGCCAGGGCTTTCTCGGTGGTGGCTCCGCACTGGTGGAATGAGCTCCCGGATGACATCAGGGCCCTTTCGCAGTTCCGCAGGGCCTGCAAGACGGAGCTCTTCTGCCAGACCTTCGAGTAGGGAGCCGCCCTAATAGACCAAGACTCTGGCCCTAAACTAACATCGTCATCAACATGTCAGTGCCAGACTCGAATTACCATCACTATCGACAAGTCAAGGTCAGGCGCTGCTAATGTCCGCCATCGCTCGCGAATGGCACTAGCACTTTATGCTGTGTTTTAGAAGTGTATTGTTGTGGTCTTATCTAACTTTGCGTTTTACTGTTTAATATGTTTTATGGAAGCCGCTCTGAGCCTGCCTCGGCAGGGAGGGTGGGATACAAATCAAATCAATCAATAAAGAAAGCCTGGCTTTCCACAGCTCTGGAGCCGGTGACTCTAGAAGACCCTGGAAACTGAGGGAAGAGAAGCCAGGAACACAGATTTTCATAGTCATACTCTGGACTCAGCACAGCTGATCTTAAACCGATAGGACTTCCATGTTCTGGCCCAAACACACCGTACGGCTGCCGACTCCCTGTTGCCAATCTGCAGGTGGTAGCTGGAGATCGCCTGGGGTTACCACTGGTCTTCAGGCGAGATCAGTTCACCTGGACAAAATGGCTGCTTTAGAAGCTGAACTCCCTGGTATTGAAGCCCCTCCCCTCCCTAAACCCCACCTTTCTCAGGCTCCGCCCCTCAAATCTCCAGGTGTTTCCCATATCAGAGCTGGCAACCCTATGCCAGCTCCACATTGGGAAATTCCTGGAGATTTGGGGGTGGAACCTGGAGAGGGCGGGGTTTGGGAAGGGGGGAGGGACCTCAGTGGGGGATAATGCCATAGACGCCACCCTTCAAAGTAGCCATTTTCTTCAGGGGAACTCAGAGGTCGATTCCGGGGGATCGTGGGGGATCGCAGTTCTCCTGGGTGAGGTGCGGGGGCGGGGTACATGACGAAGCCCCGCCCCTCTGCTTCCGGCCACCCGACTTTCGGCCCTCATTCAGCCAGGAGGAGGCAGGAGAA